GCACGGCTGGGGTTGCCGCTGGAGCTCGGCAGCCGGGGGTGGAGCAGGGGCAGGGGGAGGGGCCCGCGGGGGTGCCCCCAGTGCCGGGCACGGCTCCGGAGCCCCGGGCACCTGCGATCTCCCGGCGCCATCTAGTGCCAGGCGCTGCAGGAGCTCCCCCGGAGCCTCCACACAGCCTGCTGGGCTTGGCAGGGACCTCCTCCTCCTCTCATCCCACCCCCTGCTCCAGCAGCTCACCCCCGGCAGGCTGCCCAGGGTCCCATCCGGGTGGGTTTGGGATCTCTCCAGAGATCACTCCACAGCCTCTCTGGGCAGCTGCTGCAGAGCTCAATGAGCTTCTCAGAGAACTTCTTCCTCATGTCCCATCTGCACCTCCCAGATCAGGCTCCTGAGATGACTGTGACCCTCCTTGTGAGGCTCCCGTGGAGCAGCTGGGAAACCAATGTCCCCATTTGGTCTTACTCTCCCTGATCCAACCCTGAGAACTTCACCAGCTATCTCCACAGGGTTTTCTCAGAGCCTGTAGAGGGTCTCCAGCCATCCTGCTGGAGCTGTGGGATGGCTCATTGCACCTCCCAGATCAGGCTCCTGAGATGACTGTGACCCTCCTTGTGAGGCTCCCGTGGAGCAGCTGGGAAACCAATGTCCCCATTTGGTCTTACTCTCCCTGATCCAACCCTGAGAACTTCACCAGCTATCTCCACAGGGTTTTCTCAGAGCCTGTAGAGGGTCTCCAGCCATCCTGCTGGAGCTGTGGGATGGCTCATGCCTGCAGGTGCTCCCTGTGGTCACTGCTGGTCTCTCTGCAGGTGCTGTGGCCAGCACGGTGGTGAAGCAGAAGCTGGCTGAGGTCATCCTGAAGAAGCAGCAGGCAGCTTTGGAGAGGACCAGCAACCCCAACCCTCCAGCCATGCCCTACAGGTAAAACAGGGACATCCTCTGGTTCTGCAAAGGTGGCTACTTACCCTGGGCAAGATGTTGCCAGTGTCTTCTCCTTCCTGGTCTTCAGAGGTAGTGTTTAGTTGACATCCATCGGGACCTTGCTTCCCTGTCAAGTGCTTGCAGGAGGTGGATGAAATCCCCACATTGTTTTCCCTGAGCTGTGTTGGACTTTGGCTTGTCCCAAAAAGTACCTGTAGGCTTCTTCTTTTGTCCCAGACCAGCAGCTGGACCCTTTCTGTAGGTGCCTGTGGTAGTGGATGGGACAAACACCCCCCCCGGGCCACCCTTGTGGTGGGGGACGTGGCGTGGGGGGCACACGGCTGCCAGCTGGGGAGGGTCTCTAACAAGGTGGCTTCTCCCTGTAGGTCTCTGGAGCCTCTGGATCCTGAGGGCCCATCCCCTCCTGTGCTCAGCACCTTCCTGCCCCCCGTCCCCAGCACTCCTCTTGACCCCCCGGAGCATTTCCCTCTGCGGAAGACGGGTGAGGACTCGGGGGGGGGCAGGTTGTGAGACCCTCACAACCCCCCTGGAGCCCCACAGAGCCAGTCCAGCTTCTCCCCAGCCAGTGGTGAGTCCAGGACTGACCTCTTGGTCTCCTCACAGCCTCTGAGCCCAACCTGAAGGTGAGGTGCAAGCCCAGGAAGTGCCTGGACCGACGCAAGAACCCCCTGATGAGGAAGGAGAGTGCTCCCCCCTCGCTGAAGCGACGCCCACCCGAGGCTATTGGTGAGGGCTGGTGGCACCTCCGTGGGGTTGGAGGCCCCTGGGGGCCAAG